AAAAGGTAAGATTGTCGTATCATAAATCAGATACGAAAGATAGCAAGGGCGGCGTAACTCATCGTCAAATGCGAGTGTTTACGCGGGGCGCTTGCTGTTATCGGCAGATGACTATACATAATTAAAAATTAAGTTAGGAATACAACATTTTAAGGACAAAAAGTTGTTTCAAATCATCCTGTATAAGAAATAAGTGGCAAAATAGTTTATTATTTTAAGTTACATTCTAAAAGAAACGTTCATTGTTGAGGAAAATTTCTCATTGATTGTTTCAAGATCTTACAAACATTTTTTATTGGTTGTTTGTCATCGCCGAAGATCTACCGATTTTGGAATAGAAATTGTTTTCTACAGGTTACGTCTACAGATTACATTAAAACTTTCTATCTTGTTTTTCTCTAATATAAGACCTGTTCTTTTTGGCTGAACTAGTTCACTGTTTATATTTCTTTTTTACACATTGGAAGAAGAAAGATAAACTCTGAACTAATACAGTCAGTTCAGCTAAAAAGAACAGACTCTTTATTCCATTTTAAGTATGAGTGTACACTAGTTTAGCTATAAAAAACAAATGTAAGCGTAAGGATCATTTTTATCATCTTCGATTAATTTGTCATTAAATTTATTGACAAATGCAATTAGTCAATTCGAATGAAATAATTAGCCAATTGAGTTAATCAAAGATGGCGAAAGAGACCCTAAAGCCTTGTGTCCACGGTGCGAGAAAAAATCCGATCCGAGATTTTGAACAGAGCAAAACTTGATCAACTGAAATAACCATGATTGATTAATTCTTCCTTTCTAGAGTTAGATTCCTAAAGTTAAATCAATTACGTTGACAAATTATTCAACAGATATTGTGATCCTCTGCAATTTGATTTGTTCCGCTATTTTCAGGGGAATTAAAACCAAACGAGTGTGAACGTGGCATTATATTGACATCAATTATATTGTGAACTCAATATTTGTATTTTTTGCTTTTTAATTATTACAAATATTTGATTATTCATTATTTTAGAACTACCACTAAGCTGACACCTAGCGCATATGTATGTATGTACATGAATATCCGTTCGGACAATTCTTCTTGGTTGGAAAGATAACGATCTTGGAAGACATATTGATAGAAACTGGTGGCAACTCGAAATGACGTTTCTAACTCTTATCTGACTATCTTCACTCTTATTGTTTACCATGCGCTTTTGACAGATCGTGAGGTTGACAGTCTGTTTACATTTTTTCGAAAAATCCTACACATATCTCTTAGAGAGATATTAATAAAAATTTTAATAAATTATTTTATATAGTGTAGTACGCAAAATGGAAAATGATAATCCAGTTATATATGGACTTGAATTTCAAGTACGAACCTTTTACTTTAAATTAATTATAAACATTTTACAAATTAATTATAAATAAACATTTTACATATTAATTTATAAATAAACATTTTTATTTTATATTATTCCATGATTAACATCTATCTATTATTTAACATTTCTTATTATTGTAGTAGAAATTTTAATAAATTATAAAAAGTAAACATATTTTATGTTCTAGACTAGAGCACTGTCGGCTCAAACAGCCGAGACAGATATCGTGAGATTTCTGGTAGGAACGCAGTCTTTGAAATTCAGCAATAATCAGGTTCATTTAGTCGAGCTTAATGAGGAAACGGGAAATTTGAAGACTCAAGTGTTTCAGCATCCAATAGGAGAGATTTGGTCCTTACAAGCTTCTCCGACTGAGCCTGATGTATTTATTACATGTTATAACAGTTTGAGTGGTAAATAAGTCCTATGATTATAATTTTTTAGAGTAATTATTTAATTGTTGAAGTTAAAATCAATGGGCCATAAATTTCTATTATTAATAGTTATATTTGATGATGTATAATATATTCTTTAAAAAAAACTTCTATTTTTCTTAGAAGAAGGTACTTGCCAGATGAAAGGAACTATTTGGAAATTTCCTGAAATAGAAGAATATACTAATGATATTTTACAACTTGATAAATTAGCTGATATTGATACAACTCCTTATGGCACTAGTCTTAAAACTATTGCTTATCATCCTACAGATAATAAGAAAGTTGTATCAGTAGTAGATAATAATTTTGTCTTATGGGATCTGACTAAAGGACCACAGGTATGAATTTCTTTTTTATTTTTACTCAAATCAAGATTATTTCATTTAATATTACTTCAAGATTATTCCTGCTATTTTTGAAACTTCTTGATTTATTTAATAATTCTTCTATATGCTATTCAGGTTACAGTGTCAGGCACTCTAGCAGGCAAAAGTCAGCCAAGATTTACAAATGGTAAATGGAATCCTCACAATGGTGCTAATCAGTTTGTAACATTGAATGATAACAATGTTCGGGGATGGGATTTCAGAAGCCCAGCTAATGCTGCTTGGTCCATTTTATCTGCACATTCGCAAATTATCAGGTAATAGAGATTCTCGAGTTGAATTTATTACTCCTAATTTATTATATAACTCATTTTCCAGGGATTTAGATTTTAATGCAAATCGTCAGTATTTTCTATCAACTTGTGGTGACGATGGATATATGAAGTTCTGGGATATTCGACTTCCGACAGAACCAGTGCTGTCACGTATGGAACATTCGCATTGGGTGTGGAATATAAGAATTAATCGTTTCCACGATCAACTTGTTTTAACATCCAGTAGTGACTCAAGAGTAATATTATGTAGTATTGCATCTATATCATCTGAACTATTCGGACATATGGTATCAGCCGAAGATGAACCTTCGCAAAACGAAGAATCTTGTGGAAAAAAGAAGTAAATGAATATATTACGCAAAATTTGCTTAGCTTCTTACATATCAATTTGCATAAAACACAAAATTTTGTATAACATTCTAGATTAGAAGATGGTCTGGTAGGAAGATATGAAGAGCACGAAGACAGTGTATACGCGGTGGAATGGTCGTCTGCTGACCCATGGACATTTGCATCTCTTAGTTATGATGGTAGATTAGTTCTTAATAAAGTGCCACGTAAATATAAATATCAAATATTACTGTAAATCTATATTCAATGAAAAATTAAAAATAAAAATGTTAAGATTATTATAAATGTAATTTTTTGTATTTATGTACTATGATATTATGTACAATGTTAAATATACATTGTGTATATATATATGTGTGTGTGTATGTGTGTGTGTGTGTGTGTGTGTGTGTGTGTATACACAATATCGTATAAAATGTCTTAATCTTAAAATAAGTCTTAAGTTAAATCTCTTAATAATAAACTTTATATGTACATATATAGATAATACAATATTATAATATAATACAATATTTTTAGAACTGTTCTGAGATTTTATTAGCTATATTTCTCAACTGACCATAAACCTTGGAAGGTGGACTACCGAGGATTAAATTGCATATTGCTCTTCGAGCTAACTGTATGTTTTGAAAAGATCCAAGTATATGTATCTTAGCATCAGCGAGTACAATTCTGGTTTTTGTTACATTCTCAATGGTGAATTTTGTTCTTCCACCTTTACCCGCTAATCTTCCAATCGCTCTGGATTGATGATCACCCTTTATTTGTTGTCTGACATCCTGTATTTCAAAGGATTCCACAAAAAGATCATCTAGACGTAACAAAGCTAAAGCGTCTTCTACTTCAAATCCATAGATAAACGCTTTTACAAAATCTGCTGCTTTTTGGAGGTACGAGATATCTGGAGTCTCCGGCGCTGTTCTAATTTCCACGTTTCTAGTTTTCAGATTAAAACGCACTTGTAACTTAAGATGCTCAGTTATCGGAGTAAATATTTTCATCCAGTTTTCTTTTAAAGGTGAATATCTATGCGCTGGTACAGATATCTGCAATAAAGATTATTTGTTTAGAATCAAATATATATAATTATTATTACACACATATTTTATTACACATTTTTTATTACACATATATTATTACCTTTCTTTGTTCTCCACCTTGTACATTCTTAACTTTCTTTTTAATAATATGCGGCTTCACTTTTCCCTCTATTCCATTAATCGTTTCTACCTAAAAAGAAAATCTCAATCAATCGTAATACAACAATAGGAAATAATATATAAAAGATATAATTTTTATCAAAAATTTTCTTTTTTTATTTCTATTTTTATAGAATATAATCTTTTGTGATTTCTCGATCAAAGCTATTCCTAAACTTAAAACAGCATCGCTTAACGCAAGCTACCTCCATGCGATCATCATCAGCTTGGCGTTTTTTGGACTTCTTCGTCACTTCAGTATTCTGCTGCTGTTGTTGATCCATGTTCATTTTTCAGAAGATATCTTATAAATATCTAATGCAAAGAATAGTCTTTCACGCTCCGCTCCTCATGCACGTGGATCATCAATGCTCGGATCAAGCGGAAGAGAGAACTTCAGACATGCGCGGTAAAGCGAGTTGTAGCAGACACATATTGGCTGATCAATCCGGAAGCAGTAGTTTCCATGAAGGCTAGTGGCACATGGAAAAACGCGAGTAATAAGGCTATCAACCAATCAGAGTCAAGAGTTTTAAAATATTAATCTTGAAATGATAATGAATTTTTTCGATAATTTTTAACTTGATTAGTCATTCTGCCACACGAAAATTGTCTGTTACGTAATAATAAGAAACGATGCAGCTAATAAATTTATCACACTTCCGTAAACGCGATGATCGATTGGCACTGACATGTCGCTTTTTATTGTGCAGCGAATATCTAGTGTGCAGGATCTCAAACGTATTCCTAGACACGCAACGCATCTTTTCCATTTTATTTCCCTCTCTCTCCCCCTTCTTCCTCAAAATTTGTTTCACACATTCTGTCCCTGACCGTCCTATTATTTTGTTACGACTATGTTTTATTTATTTATGTCATTATATGAAGAAAGATTGTTCTGCATCAACACGTTGGAAATTTTCATTTGCGATATAAAATTTATATAGCAATCGTGAAAGTTTCATTTTTTTTCGTTTTTTGTAAAACAATTTGTTATTACTGCTGGAGTAGAGCTTCAAGCAATATTTAAATTTGATAAAACGATACGAATAATTATTCTTTTTAATAGAATTGCAAAATGTTAATAGAATTGCAAAATAGAGGCCGAATTCATCGATTCTCGATAACATCTGATCTAAAAGGTCAACGGGTCCATATGCCAGCCATCCACGCGAATAATTTTTTTTTACAAAGTATGTTTATATATAGAAGATCTTACATTCGTGAAATCATTCTGCTTTGATACTATTCGTCTTTCGATTATTGTAAAAAAAAGAGATGAATCATAAAAATTTTATCAAATAACTTTGCTTCAATGTTGTCCGAGAGCGAGAGAGAAAGAGAGAGAGAGAGAGAGAGAGAGAGAGAAGAGAGAGAGTAGTA